CGAGAGGGGGAGTGCGGCGAGACAGCCAGAGTAGTCGCGCGGGAGGGGGGGGGGGGTATTCAGCCATGCGAGCCCCGGCAGGTGAAGTTCCCTGCGCCTTTTTCCTCCCAAAACTAGTGGTTTTGTTGGAAACAACGTCTGACCGTCCAAATGCGTCCTATAAAGTCACTCTCACCTGACTTGTAGCATGTGCTTTCATCAAATTCTGATCATATGCAAGTTCGCTGAGCAGAGAGACATCCGTTGAGCACCTGGAAAATACGATTTCTAACAGAAATCCAGAAAAGGGCTCGCTAGAATAGCTACCCGTCATAGTCAATAACTGCATGGTCCTCGCCATCGCCGTCCGTCACAAAACACTTCTTGACGAGCATACCCATATCAGGAGGATTACACTCCCAAACATGGTACACCTGCAATATAACGACATTCCATTGGTTAGAGACAAATAGTGGATAGGGTGCACTCTTACCGTTTCTCCAACGTTGGCGAAGGTCAGTGTGGGTCCGTTTGGAGAATCACGACGGACTGAGTATTCGCACTTGGGCATTTGCATTTCATCTGAGAGCTCTGTGGTTGGTAGGCTGCTGAAAATTGTTGAAATTCAAAAATTTAGTGAAATTTTTTTTCCAGAAAAAATTCAGAACTCTGCCCTAGAAACTGTTTTTTCACATTTTTCATATCTGCACGTGTAAGTGTAGATTAAAAGATGTAACCCTGCTACATGGGGTCAAGGACACACATATAAGACCAGCTAATTCCCGAAGAACACTGATCCCCTGTAGGAACCGAAAATCTATTCGCTGAGTCGTAGGCCACGCTTCCTGTAAGCGCTAATTGCATCGTTTCTGGGTTACTTTAGCTACTTATTCTCGATTCCCACTCACTTTTAGAGGAAGTGGTAGATTCCACAGTGCAACTGGGACGTTCTTATGCAGGGAAGACAACAATAACTATAATTTAGGAAGAATTACAAGAAGTTGACCCGCAGATTGAAACGGAATCCGTCTTATTTGAAGTTTTGATTAACAAGATCTCATCATTACTAGCTAGGTATAACTCGTTAGAGATGCTCCTGCGGTTCAACCGCACCCACCTGACGTCGATGGATTGTGTGACAATGGAATCCGGCTCCATGTAGAAACATTTCACATGGAATGCGCGGTCGTTCTTCGTGATGAACCCTGCTGGATGGAACGAAACCAGCACGGTCACGACGAAGTTCACACCGCGGGGATTCGCCTATGAAATAGAGGGTCCGTGGAGAAATCGAGAAAGGGAAACAATGAATTTCTTACGGATCGCAGCCTCTGCATGCCACATTTTCCCAGTGGCAAGGAATAGGAGTTGGTGCCATTGTTCGCATATGACTGGCGACAGGATTTATCCTTTGCTCGACCCTGAATCACTTAATTTAATTCACTAGCTATTTGAAGAGTTGTGGTACTGCTAACATCCTTGCCAATCTTCGTAGGACCTGCTGTAGGTAATATGGTACATGTTATGACAAGGTGAATTCTACAGAGCAATGGGTAGTCTTTCGTACTCTTTTTTTTCTTACAGTACTTTTTAGGTGTCGCTTAAATTGTGGTAGTTGTGCAGTCTACGCCCTACACCGAATTTCGGCCCAGTTTTCTAATAAAAAATTGATACTGTGCCGGTCAATCTTGCATCACAGAATACCGACCATCGGATTTGCCGCGCCGCACCACCTACGCGATGCGGCAGACCAGCTGGGCGCTGTGATTTTCTAGTGGGTATGTCCTATCTATTAGATTCCAGTTCGTCCGTAACTTGTGCTATTAATGTATATTATACATTGTTGCTCCTTCATAATGGCTAGGTTCATGCTAAATGAGTATGATCTTAATTAATTTAACCAGCATCTTCAATAGTACCCATACGTTTCTTTAAAAATCAGCCGTAGAATGAATCCGGTATGGCGCACTGGTTGCACAACGAGTATTTAATTTCACGCCTAGGAAGGGTACTGTAAGATACATCCAGTGGCACGAAGAATTCACTCCCCCCTTCTCTCGTTGTGGAGCAAAATGTATCACAGCTGCTTTCAAGATTCGTCTTCTGCGAACTCCGCCCCTTTCCAGAGTCACCCGATCTGGCTAACCTGCTTATTTCCACACGAGCAATGGTCATCTGGTGGTTTTCAATTCAAATAGCTGTGATTAATGGACGTTCGCAGGGGCTGTAGCCGACTTTTGATGTGCAATTATACTCGACGTCATCGATTCAATGAATAGTTAGCCGTGTGAGGCAGTTGCCGAGTCGGCAAGATGGACAGAAACCTAGTTTGGTGGCGCCAAGGTGTCCGGTGAATAAGTAAACAGCTGAATCTGGGTATTGATGGATTATCCAGGATACCAGGGTCGTCCACACCTCTTAGACAACAAATATGGCATTGAAAAGTCATGGGGGTGGATTTCCTGTGAAAACCTAAAGCGTTTCGACACTGCCTTTTTTTTGTAGAAATTTGATTTAGCTGCATTATTATTACATGAGGTCAAATAGTATGGGAAAACATCCTCCTCCCTTCGCTTTAAAATACAAATTCACGGCAATAAAACAAAACAAATATTTAATTACAAAAGAAATAATATGAAACACGGATTAAAGCAAAATCAGCAGGATAAGAAAATGATATAGATAATAGTTTTTTTTTCTCAAAAAAAAAAGAGTTCAAGAAACGCTCCACTATGTTCGGTGGCGTCTACGGAGTTGACGGATTTGCGGACTTTAGGGCTCACAGCGGCGCAACCGCGCCGCGCGCCAGGATCGCTACCTCACGCTTTCGTAATGGCTTATCAAAGTGTTGCTTAGTTTTTTTTTCGTATTATGTAATGGTTTTACGACGAGAAAGCAGCAAATATAGTTAGATTAGCTATATGCAGCACAAATGAGCGATCCCAGCACGTGGCGCGGTCGCGTTGCGTTCAAGCCTGCAGATTCCTCAGCTCCATCATCGCTCACTATAGCCGAAATTATAGACTGTTATCATAAATATTCGACAAAAATGAGGCAACGAGCATCGATAAGCAAGGAAAGGTGGCTTGCTCATCTTCTCGGAAGAATGTAAGGAATCGAAGAAAATGGAGGGGGTTAGGTTTAAAAAAAGTTACAAGCGACTTTTTCTACTGTTAGAGGAGAGCAACGTACTAGAATAGAGATTCGAATGAATATTCCATACCGGATAAGATGCATAAATTTTAATATTCAAAAAAGAGAATCCTATAGCCATTCTCTTCCATGGTTCGTAGCTGTAAGACTCCTCTTTTGCTTTTGAATATTCGTAATTTTCGAAGTCGAATATTTATCTCATTCGAATAGAATATTTATCCGTATTCTGTTCTATCTATTCTATCATAATATTCGCCCCTACCTGTGGTTCTTCTCACTAAAACCCGAATCTTCCTCCGCCTTGAGAGATGTTCGCACCACCACTGCATCGTCGGGGGTATAGCTCAGGGGTAGAGCGCTCGCTTTGCATGCGAGAAGTCTGGGGTTCGATTCCCCATACCTCCAGTACCTTTTGCATTTAACTACTGAGGAACATAGAAATGGTAGCAAAGTTTTCCATATCAAATGTGGAAGCATTGAGAATTAATTGGAGATTTTCAAATAAATATTGCTATTTTTACAATTTTTTGTTGAAAATATGTACAGCGTAGAAATACAGCGCGATAGAGAAAATGAACCATGATGACCAAATAGTATTTTCCTGCTCCTGAGCATCATCCTCACATGCTAATTTATTGCAATAATATAACAGACACTTTTTAAGAAGGGCTTAATTTACCAATTCGCCAAATTCGTCTAGTTTCGACGACATTTCAGGCCCTAACGAGATATGTTGGTTCAGAAGTACATTTTTTTTTGTCTCTCCAGAGCCCCATTACAAAATCCTGCAGAATTTCCGGAAATCGTGACGTCATCCCGAACGAACTCGCTCCAATTTCCGTGAACTACATAAACACACGTTTCCTGCGCTGCATGTTCTGTTTACACAGCAGCTCTGTGACCTCCTGCAAAAACGTTCGTTCCGCACCTCGGACGATTCAAACCCGGAGGTTTAGGCCATGCTTGGTAGGTGTTTAATCTATTTTCGTTAATTTTTTGACTACTGCATTAGGACTGACTGTTTAGAGGAGATTTTTGTAGCTATATTTAAGATCAGAGCTTGAAAAGTCCGTATATATGTAATAAAAATCAAAGATGAAAAATAAATATAGATGTAAAGTTATTTTCTTCTGCTCCTGCCATTTTGGTAGGTGAATTAATTTATTATGAGGGTCTAACGTTTCGACGGTTACGACCTCTTCAGAGGCCTTAAAGTGGTGAAAAGCCGTTTATGCCCTGAACCCCCAAATCAGGCGCAGAAGAAAATACGTAATTGAATACACCAAGTATTATGCCCAAGTTTAAAGAGCAAAGAACATGAAGGCTATTGTAAATATGAAAATCAAAAATTATAATAATAAAATCGGAGGTTTGAAAAAATCGTATTGATCAAAAATTAGAGTTGTCCATGAAATGTGGTATAGTTTGTCGAAGGGCGACGTCCGTTCGAAAATAATCGACAATGTGATGAGAATGGCGTAAATTTCAATCCTTCCCCAGTGATTCAACCAAAATTTAT